ATACCTGACAAGCCCCAAACAGAATCGGACGTTCCTTCTATGAATTTAGTCGTGAAAGCTAAACAACTGGCTCATTTACCTTAAAAGTTTTTTTTTAATGTGGTATATGGGCATTGCACCATGCCCCTGCATAATTTGGAGTTTCATAAAACAAAATCGCTGTTGGGGTTTTTCATTCGTAAAGGAATAAATTCTTCTGGTATAAAAAGTCCTTGTCATATACGATAACGATATAAGGAGTTTACGATTATAGGCAACCGGCTGGCAGGTCTTACAGTGCAAGTCCTTAAAGGAGAGCCCGTGTCCATTTTAGTCTCTCTTCAGTAAAAGCGAAGAGAAAAAGAGAAAGAGAATTGAGTTTTGTTTAAAGTGGTGACGGTAAGCGGTTCAACCGTATATGGCCCCGACAATGGTTACCACCTCCTTACAGAGACCGCTTTCCGCCTACAAAAGTCCTCTCTTTATCCCTGCCTCCACCCACGGGAGTCCGAAGGGGTGAAATTCCCCCATGGAGGAAAATAAATATTAATGCTATGTTAATAAAGGCACCTTATGACGATGGAGATGGAAAAAAAGGGCTGGCATAGTAAAAACCAGCCGTTTAATTAGGGGTTGAAGAATATTGACTTTCTCATGTCCCATTACCCAAGCCTCTCTCAATTCTGACAAATGTGTCTTATTGCTAAAAAAAAACCGTTGAGAAGGTTTGTTTAAAAAATGTATTGAATTAAATTAGGAATCATGGGTGGTGTTGGGTGGTAGGGCTAGGCACGATACGGGTGTTTAAAGTGGCCACTTCACTTTAAACCTTTATATACGCTAATCGGTAACTTCCCATCACACTTCTATTTGTCATACCCTTTCATTAAGAGAGGGAATCAGCGTTGTTTGTTGTTCATGAAGGTAATTCGATGATTCCGGCCGAGGAGGTGAGCCCAATTCGGGATTTGAATGGGGGAGATCATTGAAGGGAAGGAAAACTGTCTATTCAGAGGGAACGACCTCAAACTTCCAGCCGAGAGTATGAATTATTCAAAAAAGCAGAAAACTACCGGGGTGGGATGATCTCATTTGAATAAGGCTCCAGAATGCTGTAAATGATAGAGTGGGAGAGAAGTCGTCCGATAATTCCCTACAATTCTCGACTCGTGGACCTGCCGAGTATTTTTATTAGACGCCAATTACCTGCCTACTTGGGCCTCCTTCTGTTTTCATTCCCCTTTTACGCTCCGATTCGCTTCGGTTTCTAATGGTTAAAAAATCTCCCGTTAGACCCGCACCCCCGGTGTGCATTCGAGATACATCTGATTTTCACGAGGTCAGACGTGCAGTGCAGTAAGTTCGTCTTACTTGGACTACTAGACATACCGAGCGGAATCCGGCCCGGAGGACCAAGTTTAATCGTTTCGTAATAACGATTCAAAAAGGGGAATCTCACATGATATTAACGAAAGATATAGTTTATTAGTGCACCTGAGAATAGTTTCCAAAGGAACCTTTTCGGTCAATTTCGGATTCCTGTCGACTACGCTACTTCGGTCCCACGTCTGTCAGAATCTTCGGAGGAAACAGCTTCGGCAATATAATCCTGAAGGACTTATTCGCTGGTTTTCGAAATTAATTAAGCACTGACTTGTAATAGATAAATTAAAATAGAAACCGAATTGGATAATAACGAGATTTAACTAGATTTATGTTTGTTCTCTTAGAAGAGGAGCTTATCGCATCTTTATAGAATTATAGAAATAATTGATTTTAACTATACGTTTCAGTCTTAAACACTACACATTAGAGCAGCAAATCTAAACAAAATTCTTCAATTCAAGTCCCTAGTTCAAAGTTGAAGTCTTCAATTACATACAGCATCTTCAGCTGTCATTATTTAGTTCTTCTCGACAGTTCTTCACAAATATTAACTATCTCAATGACATTCACAGGTGTTTTCTAAAACCTTTTTATTGTTGGGTCCAATTGTGGGAGCGGATCCGACCGGTGACCATACCGATCTCAATAGTCCGAATGGGGAGAACGGACCCACCCCGGTGGAAAATCTTTAAGCCCGGATTTGCTACATTCGGACATCTGTTCTTTGAAACTCTCCTTAAGAGAGCTGGGGTCCCATTCTAGTTTTATCAGTCATCACTTTCCCTTCTGTTTCTTTTTCGAGAAGGGAAAATATACAGGGTGCACCGTGAACATACTTCACTACTTCAGGCGGTTATCAAAATTAACAGTTTATCTGAAGGACTTTATCGAAAATTGTTTTGAAAGATTGAAGTAACCTGGAAAGTCAAATATTTCGAATACAGTCGTTTCAGAAACTCGTCCAATAAAATCTTTTTTTTCTCGCGATTTTCGAATTATTTTTGTTAGATGTTCAGATTACCGTACATTATAATCTAGTTTAAAAATGGTTTGAAGTTGCAGGAACAAACAGAAACCCATCATTTCCAGCACAAAACAAAGGTGTGATTGAGGGCTGATTCAAATTTTAACGTACCCAAACCTAAGAATACCAATCAACGATTAAAAAAAAATGAATAACCTTCGAAAGATGAAAAATACCTGCTTGAAATCAAAAGTGTTCAACTGTTCTAGAAAAAAATCAATTGGTCAACAACTAAGGAAACAGTGGAAACCTTTAGTTGATGAAGTTTAGTATACTTTGTTGGGATTTCAACATACATAAAGTTCTTATTTAAAAAAAACTTTGGACATTCAAGCCCAGTCTAAGAATATGTTGCTGATTTTACAACGATTATTCGGAGAGCGCGTGATGCGGTCTGGTGTGACGTAGATTTTAGAAAGACATTTTCTTTATCGTGCCAACGTTTCGATCTTTACCGAGATCATCTTCAGGGCCTGGGATTTATAAACATTGTTTAAATTTTACAAATACATGTACGATGTGAAACAATGAATTTATACAATGCTAGAAAATTTTAGATTAAAAAAAATGAATTTATACAATGTTAGAAAATTTTAGATTCAAAAAAATGAATTTATACAATGCTAAAAAAATTTAGATTAAAAAATTTTACAACATTTTTCATTTCATTTTATTTCGAAAAAAAAAACAATTCGGTAAATTTCTGGTGTCTTTTTCAGCAGAAACCCGTCGTTTCTAAAATAAATTCAATATTTAGGGTACTTCTGATCAGTGTTAAAAAATGTAAAAGCATATGCAATTCAAAGCAACCGATAAACCAGAAAATACAAAATAAAAAACTTTAAAAAAATATACAGCATGAAAATGAAACTTTTGTTTCCAAAAGTTTGATTCCTAGGACGTGACGGGTTTCTGGAACGATTTGTTCTATTGAGAACCAGATTTTTGGAAAGAAGAAATGTTTTTAGTCCAATTTTGATGTAAAGGGTAAACAACTTCTGAAGTATTGACGTCTGTAATGTATCGGTCAAGTATTAAAAGTAAACTTTGCTTACAATAAGCAGAGGAACTTTGTTTTATTCTATGGGCACGATTTTGCGCTTGTATGATCGTTTTATGTTGAAATTTGCATAGCGTAGATCTGATAATGTTTAAAAAGAGAAGAGGTTCAGAGAGTGCCGCACTCCACGCCTTATAAGCATAGTATTATATGTAATGCAGTTGAGATTTATGATAGCATTCGGATACAATCAGAAATTAAAAATTCAGATCTCGAGAGTTCAATGTAAAAGTCGCTCTGGGCACTTGCAATTTGCTCGATATCCATTTGCATCTAAGGATCGACGAGGGGCGGACGCCCTCCGGGCAAAGGAACCGATTCTTCTCAAACTTTCACTTTAAGCTTGTTTCTATTTCGTAAGTGGTTTTGTCTATTTCGTCTGACGCGAAAATAATTTCCGGTATAAAAACCCTGACTTTTTACTCTGTATTATCGGTACGATTCAATTGGACACTGGTTTAGTGTTTTCGGCTCGATTGGGGCAATGAAAGGGCTAAATTATAGGGAACCTAGGCCAGTTGTCCCTCCCGATTTTATTTCCCGGTGGGAACATCCAGTATATCTATTGAAGAAAGCACGAAAGATGGAAAACTGCACCTGTACTCTCGGTGGAAAGGGGAGGAACAAAGATTGAACTTCCTCCCCAAATTTTTTTTCTAGTACGAGGGGGAGGAACATATGGCCTGCCTGGGTTAGGGCGTCTTCTGTTTCAACCACCTGCATGAGGACTCCCAAGGAAAAAAAAGAAATCACGTCCATTTTACAACGGTTGTTGCACTTGGGCGACCGAGGATATGACCTCGAATAAACGATTTTAAGAATGACAAATAATCCCGGGACCAAAGCCCATTAGTTCTAATCAGTTTAAATCTGAAAGGACCATATATATTAACTGCTATCCTTTGATTGATGTTTCAGATACCTCTGCCTCTATCTGAAACAAGTCTCACCACTTAAACATATGTCAGCGCCTTTGACAGACACTAGCCATTAGACTTTTTTCAGTTTACTTTCGGCCTTCTAATCTAGTTATTTAATATCGAACGGAAATATTATTTTAAAGCTTTTGAGTAGTGTTGTAATAACTCTAGCTAAGCCGATTATCATAAATATGGATTTGAAGAGAACAGCAAGGTCTTCAAAACGTACAAAAAACTAAACACAACTCATAAAATGCACAAAAATGTAAACTAAACGATGATTTTGAAAATGCAGATCCCTTATGTATCTGCGAGCTAAAATTTTAATGAAGAAACTATACAACTACATATACTGCGACAAACATCTAATATAAATGAGATTTCTTCTTGAAGCCTGATGAACCTGTAGTTTGGTCATTTCCGATTATTCTGGTCTGCCTAGCCTGTCTATTTTGGCTGGTGAAGCTATTTTCGGCATCATCAGTGATGCTCTAACAGACAAAATCTTCGAAAACGCATACCAGATTGACCAGAAAAGACCAAATTACATCTAAAGTATACCTATAATAAATCATCAGTTCATTCCTTTCTACCTTCTTAACACAGGGATTTATACTAATGTCTTTTCCAGTGGACTGAGCGGAGGAGAAAAACGCGGCGTCCGTCCCGTGTACCTGCGATGCAGCGAGGGCAAGGTCGGCTGGAGTTATCCCGACGGTGCTTTGCGTGTCCTCCTCAGGCTGGGCAGCTCCGGAAGGGACTTCAGAGCCTGCCTCAGGCCGGCCCCGGGCAAGAAGCTACCCGCTTCTATATACTTAGAAGGAGTCCGCTCCCTCAACAAGCTCTACTCGCCCCAACAGCCGACCGACAGGCCGCACGTCAGGTAATTTCGACTTGTTTTTCTTTCCGGACCGGATTCCGATCGGTTTTTAAGAAATGTATGGGATGCTTGATCGAACGGGTTTACATTTTCTGAAATCTTTAAGAGTTCCGATTGGTTTTTGATATACCAACACTCTTGAGACGCTTAATGAGGATGACCTAAAGTTACAACGACCTGAGTAAAAAATTGCAAAAAGAAGATCACTATCGGGGTTCCTTGATCATCAAGATACTTCCAGCTCGTTTTTCCCCAACAAAATCTCAAAATTAATTGGATTATATTAGCCAAAATTCACCTATTCCTGTACGCTTCTTCTGGCGGGATTTTTGTCAACAGGTCTGTAGTTCATCGATTCCCAAATCGCCCGAGTACCACAGTGGGATAGGGGATATGGATAAAAGAGGCGGCCACAAGGCTTACTGCACCTCGACGTGAATAGATCTATTGTCCTCCCCTGTTATAACTCACTGGCCAGCTTCAGGTTATTAATCACCCTCCATAGATTTGCCAGCGGCTCTTTAGTGTAGGATCTTGCTTGCGGTTTTTCTCGTCAAGAACCTGCACCTACATAGACCTTCAGAGAAACATAAAATGTGTTCTGCGGTCTCCTCCTCTTCCTGGCAGTACTTGCACAGTGTTTCTTCTGACTGTACTCCGATCCGGTGCATGTACATTCTTAAGTGAAAGTGTCCTGACAGGAGTCCAACCAGAATCCTGAATCGGTTGCTGTTGTCTTCCAGTAATTATTTTGAAAGTTTTGCGGATGGTCCTTCTATGAATCTCCTCGCGTGCCTCATACCTGTGGCACCAAAACCAAGTTTTGGACCGAGTACCACATGTAATTAGACCCCTGTACAATATGTAGACCTACATGATTTGTTGGTAGGTACCGCCATTTGTGGTTTTATCTTCCCACGTGGACTCAACTCACTCGTTCTTAGATTATTTTCTTGAATTTACTTTTTAAAACGAACAACCCGTGTATATTTTAGACGAAGGTATGTGAAGAAACATCTAGACATCTAAACGACTCAAAAATCAGTTAAATTAGACATGGTTTTGAGCGTTTGAGAATTACACTAGCTACGATCCATTACGTTTGAAACCTGGTGGTCTAATTAAATATGTCATATTGAACATGTCATTTATGTTCACTTGGCCGCCTGAAGATTTAAAGCTCCAAACAGTGCAGCATATATGAAAAAGCGGCATTTATTTTTCCAGATAAAAGAGAAAATAGCCCGGGGAAGATAAGGGAGGAAAGTCCCAGGGTTGTCCTCATTGGCCGATATTGTCGCAAACGCCATGTGGCATATAACCGCCCTTTCGTTTAAAACCGAGAAAACTGGTGAAATGCAAATTATCCTCGGTCAATATAAATATGAACTGAATACCATCACGACGTACTTTCTAATTTTTATCGCCTGAAAGACTTGAGGGGTGATTTCACTTTTATGAAAATCGATTGTCGTGAATCGTGAACAGTTACACTGATCGGTTCTCTCCAAAACTCTTTTAATCTCGAGCCACAAGTAAAAAACCAAAAAAGATAATTGACTAAATGTATTTGTTTGAAATAGTTTTTTGCCGTATGGTACAACATGTCCAATTCGAATTTGACGTTTATGGCAGTTTGCTAATCAACAGTCAGATAACAGTCACAGCTCAGAAGTCTATTGATTCGAAATTAATTAACCATCGTTTTGGCTTTGTTTTTCATGTTCGGTTGTAAGCATTTTAAAGGTTTTCTTCATTCGAACGCGCTCGAAGTTGAAACAGTGGATCTCGATCTGAATTGCGACCCCACGTAATCACCGCGGGCGAAAACGCATACAGACCAGTTTTAAAAGATATGAGCTCATCCACCTGAGGGAATGCCCGCCGCTGTTGAAATTCATACCGGCGGTTTTCAGATTCAGAGAACGATATGCGTTTTGAAAATCCGAATTAAATTCAAGTTCAAAACTGAACAGTTTTTCTTGGTTATGTGTATGACGATAACTTCCTGTATTTCAGTAATAGAAGTTGATTTAAGATTCAATTTGTCTTCTATCGAAATGTAAGATTCTAGAAGGTGTTAGAAATTCTTTACAAAGCTTTGTTCGTTAAACAGGTGTGTCTTGAGTAGAGGAGGTCAAGTGGCATTGTACGTGGAAGCCGCCGAGGAGCCCTCTTTGACCAAACAGACGATTGAATTCGCCTACGATCTCCAACCGCTGAAGAAGGGCAGCGTTTACGATCCAAACGAAGGTAAATAAAATATAAAATACCAAAAATATACAATTCTTATGTTTTAAAAAGCGTAGCAGTACTAATTGATTACTTGCTGTTTCAGAATGCAGACCGTGCACTAAAGAGGAGATGACGCACGCATTTTGCACAAACGAACTCGGTGAGTTTAAACTTTGTGACACTTTCATTTTAATCTAATAGACCGAAAGTTGAACAAACTCTTTTATAAAACATCAAATAATTTTTCCCAAATCCTTGACGAACGACATAATTATAATTATTATTTATATTGATATAAAACTTTGTACACTTTCCCTCTTTACAAAATGGAGTGGACCAAAAAAGTTTATGATCAAGGCACCATTGTTCAGTTTCTTAAGTTTCTCCTCTAGTTTCACTCATATAACATTTCTCCCGGAATTCTTCAAAGTTAAACCAATACTGTTATTTGTGTACGAAATTTAACCACACACAATATGAACTTTAACGCAATCAGGTAATTTACTATTTACAACAAACATTTGATTTTTTTCCCATTTAACAAAAGAGAGAGGGCCCAAAAAATTCTCGAGATCAAGGAACCATTGGACATGTTCCTAAGTTTCTCCGATAATGTGACCCAAACCATGAATTATTCCTGCTGTATACTCCAAATTTTCGCCAATAGAATGAAATTTTACAGATTTTAACTGCAATATCAACATTAAGAAATCGGTGTTACAATTTCAAATAAATATTTGGCTTTTTCCCACTTTACAAAATAGTGAGGGACCCAAAAGGCACACGATCAAGGCACCATTGGCCAAGTTCTTAATTTTCTCTTACAGTTAATTAAAATACCTATGTTACTTAAAAATAAATCACCTGCATTATGCTTACAACTCAAACCAATAGAATGATTATTCTTTATAAATTTTAACGGGTTACAATATGAACTTTACGAACTCGGTGTTATTTTCCATTTCCAATAAACATTTGACTTTTTCCCACTACAAAAAACTTGAGATCAAGACACCATTGGCAACGTGCTTATTTTCTCTAATGTGACCCAAACTATAAAACATTTCCTTTCGCTGAATACTCCAGATTTAACCAATAGAACGATTTTATTAACAAATTTTAACGGCATACAATATGAACTTTAAGAAATCTGCGATATTTCCAATTTCCAATAAATATTTTACTTTTTCCTTCTTTACTCACTGGAGAGGGTCCAAATGCACAAGAGCAAGACACCAATGGCCAGGTTTTTATTTTTTCCGTTAATGTGACACAAACCGTGAATTATTTCCTGCTGAATACTCCAAATTTTAACCAATTGAATTGAATTTACTTATCAATTTTAACTGCATACAATGTGAATTTTAAGAAATCGTGTTATGTCCCATTTCCATTAAACATTTGACGTTTTCCTCTTTACAAAATGTTTCGGGCCACAAAATGCTCACGATCAAGGTAGCATTGCCCACCACGTTCTTAAGTTTTTCCTCCAGTGTGACAAATCATGAAAAATTTCTCGTTATCAAGTTTTAACTATGGAATTACTGTCAATGATTTTCTACTTCTTAAATGAAGTATCGAGTCAATTGAACTTAGGAACTAAAAAGGTGCGATAAGCTAAAAATACTGCAGTGGTTGTGGAATACCAAACTCCTTCTTTCTAGCTTCCTTCTCATGATCAACACTACATCTCTTAGATTGCATGTTAAGTTTAGAAACGTAATTTGTGTTAAATTTATATTTATAACGGTTTAAGATAAAATAAAAAACACAATTCCCAGCTATTGATGTAAAAATAAATAAATATTCTCGACGAAAGATTTCGGATAATATTTCAGGATCTTTTATCTAGGAATTTTTTAATGGGTCGAAATAAGTCTAAATCGCCCATCAAAGTGATCCTATCGGTCGGAGAAAGGCCTCTGAAGGAATAGCTAGAGGTCCCATCCTTATGCCCCGGAGCGGCTGATTCTTTAAAACTCTGCATCGACGAAATTATTTTTCAAATTTCCGAATCCACTTGAAATATCCTTTAATATTATAATTTCAAGAAATGAACACATGGTCGTAATTGAATAATAACAGGTCGTTGATTTTCCCCATTGACAGGGTGTGCGAGATTTGGACGATTTTCCGTTGGGCAACAAAACGAGAAATTTCGGTACTGAAAAAAATACGTCAGCTCGTTAGGCTTATGTTTGCAGGGTCTTTAAATGGCCAAAAAGTATGGTGTTTTGTTCACTTTTATACTATTTTGGCATATTAATGGTTTTAATTGTTATTTTTTGTGTTTTTCTGATCAAAACTGAGATTGTACATGCAGTTTGTAGTTTTTATACTTCCATTTTTTTTGTACTTACTGGTTCTGTTCGTTTTGGAATTTTTGGCCCTTTTAAACCCAGGTTTGTCTAAATATATATATTTTTCGAATCAAGAGCCGAAAGAGCGTCGTAACAAAAGTGATTTATTCAAATGTTATTCAGGTCCGAGTTGGACCGAGGGCTGGAGTTATTATTTTAATAGTTATAATAGAATAGGAAGGATCTCGATAAGTGCTCTGGTATGTGATGTGGAAATTGGTATCGGACCCGGTACCGGCTCGTTGCCGGTAAGTGCGCCAGACCGGGTGTGGGTTGATAAATTGCCGAGGGGCCCGCAATAACATCCTATGCCGGGCCCATGACCCGAGCCCCCTCCAGCATAGCCGGCACACCCTCAATAACAAACAGCATAACAATACGAATGCAAAACTGCTCGCTCGGGCAAATCAGAGACAGCGCGACAGCGATTTCTGGAGGGCGAAGATTGTTAACGCTGCACTTTGTTTAATTAAAACTAAAATGAGATTATTGACACAATAGCTAACAGAAAACCACAATTTTTAAAAAAATCTTGTACATATGACACGTATTAAACTGAGACCTCTTCCACTTTCTACCATGGCAATGAAAAATAGTCTACAGCAGTGGGGGAAAAAAATAAAATTTTCATCTTCTCAAACTTTTCTACACGACTTTTCACAATTTTCACATTGCAACTTTCCCAGAGTGTGATAATTATTAAAACATATTTTGACCTATAGCTTGCTTCTTAGTTTTATGGCGTTTCGCCTTCTTCAGTGGTGGATCTGACAGACCAAAAATTAGAGTTCCAGAAAAACTACCAGAAACGCCCTACCTACAAAAATGGTTAATATTCTATTGCCAAAATGAGGAAGAAGCTATGTAACAACATCGTCCATTTGGGAATCTATTTGAACATAGTAAATCAACAGATTTTCTTATTGAAATCTACACTTTGATTGCTTTAATGGATGGACAAAGATTTTGTCATCGCTGATTACCCCTGGCCATCCCGATCAGCCAAAATTTCCTGTTTCAAACAGATTTTTATTTCCTCTTCCCTCACTGTTGTAACATTCTTTACTTAACATTTATGAAATTAAGTCAGATTATAAACTGGATTATATATAGAAAAACCGGATATGAAAATGATTAACACAATCATCCTATTTAGGATTGTCTAGAAAGATTTTTATTTTACTTTCTAGTATAAAGTTTTGACCAACTCTGCTTGAAAATAGTTTATTTATTAGTTAATAAATTAAAATAAAATTGGAGGGAAAAAAATTATTATTTTTACACTTTAAATTTTTCTTTGAACCAATATTTAGGAACTGACTAAAAACGTCCCTAAGCAGATTGCGCAAATCAAGGTTATAAGCAGGGAGAGGCAAAATACTAATCCTCCTTCCCATTTCTACAAAATTCGAAACCAAATCTAATACTTTGCTGCGCTCTCAAACCTCAGTGCGACTTTATTCATTGAACAATTTTATTTTAATTTGACCCAAAGCGGAAAACATCTCAGTTCCATGACAAGTACGAGTTTTTTCCCAACCTCCATTGTAAATTCTCCTAGTGCTTAAGCTTTATATTCCTCTTTTCATCCTGCTTAATCAATCCTGTCTTTATCTCGAGTAATTATACATAATCGATCAGTTTTAAAAGACCCGGAATCAAAATTTTTCCACCCTGAGACATTATCATTACAACTTATTGATTATTTGTCAAGTTTTTATAAATCTTAAGTACCGTACCGATGACGAATGGCATTAAACGTTCTTCTTAAATCATACAGTCCAATTTTACAATTTAATAAACCAAAATGATACGTGTTCAAAGAAACACTAAGATAACCCTAAGCACAAAGGATAGCAAGCATATAGCAAGATTTCTCACTCTAGAACAGTGTCATGGAATCACTAAATATTATTTACATTTTCTTATCACTATTGTATGTCAAATGACCCACATAATAGGCCAAAAGTTTAGAATAGGAAGCTCACAATGATCTGCTTAGTCATATGTTCATGATTTATATAATTGAACTCTGGTTTAACTACCTAAGCAGACCTGACCGAGATCTCTTTTTACCATAAGCAAATGTTCCTGTTTGATCTGTTGTTGCTTTTCAGCCAAAACGGATCAGGAAATACGTATATGATGTCTTTAACGTGTTTTTGCTTTGTTTCAGTGGTGAGAGGCATGATCCAGAGGGTGGAACCGATCGAGGACACCGACGTTTCCGAGATCACAGTCAAAGTGACCAAGACCCTCCGGCGGTGGTCGCCCTGGGGCGAGAACGAGGTGTACGACGACGGTGCCGACAAGGAAGTCGTCCAGGTCGGTCGTCACTGCGGTGCTCAACACGGAGGAGGCGAGATGGTCATCATGGCGAGGAGGAAACTGGGCCAGCTCGTGCTCAGCTGCGCGCCACGGCTCTCTGAGTGGAAGGACGTCGTCAGGGAGGCAAATATCATGGATTCGGCCCATTGCGTGCTGTCCAGTTAGCCATCCTTTCACCAACTAGTCTATTCACTGTCTAGTTTAACCAACTAGACCAATATAGTCACTGCCCTTTCCAGGGTTCCTCGCTTAGTCAAGAGCGAACTCAATACATTCGAATTTTCAAAAACGCCCTCGAGTCCTCCCCTCAACAAGCGTTTCTTTCAACAATTTATTTTATATTATATATTTTTATAAGGTTATCAGTTTTTATTTCTGAAAAATCATACTTGGTCTATTTAAAAAAAAATCTAAGGAAATATATAAATTATTCATTCCTAAGCACTTTCTATCAGATTTATACAATGACATAAACCTTAGCAAATGTCGTTTCAAGTCTTGAAAAAAATTTGAGTTGTTTAAGAATATTTTATCAAATTTATCTGTTATAGTAAGCATCAACAATCTTTTACAATTTTATATGTACTTAACAATCGCAACTAATAGACTGTGCAATAAAACTCCATGATAAAAATTATGTAAAATAATTGTATAAAAGATTGTAAATAATGGTCTTGATATTTAAAAGAAAAAAGTGCAATAATCAAATTATTAAAAAAATTATTATTTAATGTTTATAGACTTTCACGTTCTTCTTTGGCTTGCTTTGTACTCCACTTTGTGCTAGACGCTTTTTTTATCTTCCTCGCTTAGATTTTTCTACTTTACAATAGGCTTTCGTTTTTTAACGTACTAATGTGTTTTTTGTTTATATAAGCTTCCTTGTTTTTGTACATTTGTGAATTCCCAGTGCCAAATTATGTTGTTTGTTTTTATGCAAACTTTCAGTTTGACAAAAAGCAGTGTCTTTGGTGCTTTCTAGTGCTCCCGTTCAGCCTTCATACGATCCACACTTTTCCGCGTTTTTTCGAAAAGGAAACAATTTTTTTTATATATTTAAGCAAATAAAGCGAAATGTAGCGACCATTTCACCTTTTATAAACAAATACGAAAACCACACCATTTTTTTTTTCCTACGCGCACTATAATCACCTTGTGTATATTATTTTGCACATATCTTTTTTTTTTGTAATTTAGATTTTAATTTCTTGTTAAGCACAAACTTTTCTTTAAAAGCTTGTGCGTTATAAATACTGTAAATATAAAACTAAAAGAGCTACCAATGTTTTTATAATTTGTTGATCTCATATAAAGAAAATTTATTGTAAATAATCTCTTTTGTTTATCGGTAGCAAAATGGACAATTTTTATTTTCTAAACGTAGATTTCTAATGTTAAGCTTGTTTAAACATAGTTTTGTTTAAAAAGAAAATATATGAAAGTATAAAAAATGTAGAAGAGGCCATATGTAGTTTGTAGAATGTATTATGAAATTTAAAAAAGAAAAATGTGATATTTTGTAAATATTATGTTAAAAAAGAGAAAGTTACGATTGAAATTTATTTTGTAATTAAATGTTAAGACATTCAATTATTGTTTTTGTTTATCCAACAATCCTACAACTTCTACAGTGATGATACCAGAAACTACCTACGTAGTCGAGGAGTTGGTCCATTGCCATAGCAGTTCCAGGCAGGCTTCAGGAAAATATATTCGACAATAGAGAGTAACCATTTTCAGTAAAAAAACCTTTTAATATTAATATCATTCTTCTTACATTCCAGATCTGCCGTTAGAGGTGAGGGGATTTTTAGCTTGAGAGAGTTGAATTCTGGGATAAGGCAGGGTTGTACCTTAAGCCCATTATTGTTCTCTTCTTTTCTCGATAATCTCCCCGACTATTCGAATACGAAATCCATGCTGTATTTTTCTTCGTGAGTTTCTTCTTCGTACCTATAATAATCAATATAAAAAAAACATGAATGTCTTATCCTAACTGGAATCTTTCCAGTCATAGAAAGTAGAAAATTACGGTCTTTCAGAGCATGATGCTAAAGAGCGCTGATATTCCAATTGTTCTCCCTTTGAAATTGTAAATAAATCAAAATATTTTGGTTTAATTTTCAACTCTTTTCACTCATCCCCACTAGCAAGGCTAGGATCCACAACGCGAAATATAATCTGAAATTTGGCCTAATCTCATCTCTAATACTCACATCCATGTTAATCCAAGCTGTTTTTACCTGTGTACAGCCCTGTTACAAGTTTAGCTTGCCTGGAGTATTCGACAGTATGATACAATTGAAGCCCAGCAACATTAGTTCTGTGATGTCTATCACCTCCCCTCGTTCACCCCTAATTATATTATACAGACCAAGTTATTCAGATATCGTGAGATGCGGTCGGGTGTGATGTAGGTTTCAGAAAAACATTTTCTTTATCGTGGCAACGTTTCGATCTTTTATTGAGATCATCTTCAGGGCTCAAAGTGTTTGTCTTCTGTGTAATTGTGCCATCCTTGCGTGTCGTGTTCAGAGTGCCAGTTTCTATGAACAAATTTCAACTACATACGGACACGCAGCTAAAAGTATTCTGAAGAACATCGCCAACAATGAGAAGAAACTCGCATCGGCCATCAATCAGAGAACTTTTTTGCTGAAATGCAGACCACCCATTGTATTTCCTACTCACATCAAGAACAATTTCAATTTCACAAATGCCACACTAACACAGCCAAACACCAGAATTAACGACATACGTAAAGCCACAGTAAATTTCAAACGAAACATTTTAAACATAGAAATCACCACGAGCTTCAAAAACATCAAGTCATTAACACAAAAATTACACCAATTAAAACTCAATGCCGCCAACATAATACCTACAGACATTTTAAAAGAATTTTACACACATCAAAAAGATGCATACAACGCCCACTTTGACCAAATTAAAAATAAACACATCAAAAAATTAAATAACTTAATCAACAAACAAACACCTTCTAACACAAACAAATGGTTCCTAAACCTAACCAAAAGGAGCACTCTCAACACGACACGCAAGGATGGCACAATTACACAGAAGACAAACACTTTGAGCCCTGAAGATGATCTCAATAAAAGATCGAAACGTTGGCACGATAAAGAAAATGTTTTTCTGAAACCTACATCACACCCGACCGCATTTCACGATATCTGAATAACTATCGATTAACGGTCACTAATCTCTACACATTTCTACAGACCAAGGTTGACATCATTTTCCTATAGTCATGACACAAAGTTTTAAATTACCAAAACATCGGCTTCCTACCAAAAAAAGAGCTACAGATTATTAGATACAAAATATCATAGTTCTCCTGGAATGGTTTGTCTCAAGAATTTTGACTGGATAATTTTAATGAATAGTCGGTTTTACTTCCTAACCTGATCCAACCTGATCGCTCACACTTACAACTCAGCTCAAAATTCCCCCAGATTCTTTCTATATAAACATCTCGTTATGTTAAGGTCTGGTTTAATATATCTGGGGATGGTTATGGAAAGAAAGACACAGATTTTTTTTCGAATGAACCTGATTGTTTACTTATGTTTTCGATGTTGCACCAGCCTGTATAATAATCCTGTCAAGCAGGGTCGATAGTTATTTATTTCAGGTTACTAAACCACCTGCTGTATCAAACCTCAGCCATATGGTCCGTTTCTTTGTATTGTTATTTTTAACATATAGTGTCTTAATCACCAGATTTAATTCGTTCCTTTAATGTTATTAAAGTATCAATTGATCAGTAATTTTTTTATAGTAGAAATATTATTTATAGGACAAACAATGTACATAATCATGTCTTAGTTTAGAGGGAAACGTGGTGAATCACCTCAGCTAGAGTTTGAATGAACTGTGAATCTTCAGTTTTGTCATTCTTTTTCGCCTCGGGTCAAACGGGATTGGAAGACACATTCCGAAACGGCATGTCATCATGCCGAACCTTTTTGCCGACTAATTATTTTTCCTGACATGGCCTTCATGAATATGTAGCCGCGAGGAGGTCCTCGTCGAATTACCGCCCGTCAAATTGCCAAATATGCCGGGTGTGGTCGAAACGTCGTTGTGATTTAATGCGAGCAGACAAAAATGAATAAAAGCCTAATTAATACAAACCCACGTACAGTAAAATAAAATAAAACAAATACAGCTGTGAGTATGAATATGCAAACGAATGCTACTGCTAGCCTTCTCCTGAAGACTTGACAAGCGAAATTGATTTTAGAACTGGTACAAATTAATAAAATATGTACATATTTTTTAATAAATAAACTGTGATGCACTAAAAACTTTCAACGATTGCATAGATTGACATTAATGATAAGTTATAGACAGACACAAAAACATAAAGTTATTGGTGAAGCTCTGTCCATCTATTTATCTATGTAGATGTATTTTCGGGCTGGATGTATGAAAAATTTGATTTTCATAACCAATTTCGCGTTATTTTTAGATAGGATTAAGCTTTTGGACTGGTAAGATTAGGTGAATATGTTGAAGATGGGGTTAGGTTAGGTTAGTAGTGTTAAATTTAGGACGGCTTATGCTTGATTAGGGTTAGGTGAGTATGTTGAAGGTAGGGTTAGGGTTAGGCAGGCTTTAGAATGAGATAGGTTAAGATTGATAGGGTTAGGGGAGATTAGGATTATCTTCCCTTTCTCGCTAATCTTACCATTTCTCTGTCTCTCGGTCTGTCTGCCTGTCCGTCTCCCTCTCACACACTCTCACTCTCTCTCTCTCTCTCTCCTCTCTCCTCTCTCCACTCTCCTCTCTCTTTCTTTCTTACTCTATTTTGTCTCACGTACACACTCTCTTCTTCCATCATTTAGGTTCGCTTTCTGTCTAAATATATTTTCAACATATTTTCTGGGTGTTTTACATACTCCCTACCTTTTTCATTTTTTCCTCACNTATATATATATATCCATCTAAATCTGTCTCTATATATCTATCTACCTATTTATCTTTATCTCTTTCTCACTTAGTTTCTTTGTGTCATTTTCCTTCTGTCCCTACTTCACTCTTCTCATTTTGCTATCTCTTTCACCTATCTATCTAATTGTCAATATGGCTTTGTTTATTAATCTCTGTGAACATTTTTCCTTTTAACTCTATGTGTGTTTCTATTTTAGCTTTCTTTATCTATATGTACCTACATAACCATTTTTTTCATACGGTCACTATTTTTAATATAGTTTATCACTGTTTATAATTTTAACTGATGCATAGCATTCAGAACGCCTCTGTTGAAATGCAAATGGGAAATAAAATGATACTATTTTTAATATACACAATTTTCAAATTTAATCAATATACAGTCAATGCATGGTATATATGTAATGTTATAGAACAAATTATTTATAAAAAAGCAACGTTTAAATAAATCATTGATTCGTTTTTATAACACTTTAACAAACAGTGTACAAGTGTAGAAACATTATTGAGTCGGGCGAAGATGTGGAGTGGAGTAATCTGAACCAATTTACCTCCTCATCTCATATACATATCGCGTGTGCAAGTCAAGAGGCTCCAACCGAATAAAAAGCTATTGGCCCATTGCTCCTCCTAATTGAAGACCTGCCATCTGTAAATAATATTCTAAGAATTAACAGAAAGGGGAGAAAAATGTTGGCCTGCCTGAAAAGGGAAAGAATGTTTAAGTACATTGAGTTTACAAATGTCTTGAGGCTAATAGATAGAAGATACTCTAAAGAGTTGTTTCACTGTTTGACTTTTCCTTTTGCCTTTATCAATCTTAACAGATTTTCAATTTATAAACATACGCTTTACAAAAAGTCATAGGATCATAATATTCACAATCAATTGCCAAGTTTACTAACGAAAACGAATGACAACGCTGAGCACAAAAATTAACGCTTTTGAATCGGTATTTCATATTTCTATAAATAAAAGAATCAAAATTTAGTTATTCAACAAGATGTATTGCCAAGAAGGAGGTTTTATGTATTTTAGAGCTTGTCACTTGAAATAATTGCACACCTAATAATAAGAGGCGTGCCAAACCCTGCTTATAGACTTAACGACGTTGCGGCATCAATGTTTTCTGCAATATCACATTTTTCACACATTCCCTCTCGTTTTCTCTCTCTCTCTCTCTCTCTCTCTCTCTCTCTCTTTCTCTCTCTTACTTTCTTTCTTTCTTTCTTTCTTTCTTTCTTTCTTCCTTACTTTCTTACTTTCTTTCTGTCTTTCTCGCAACGAAAAGACACGTTAACTTTTTTTCCGGCTTTACAAGTTGTCAATTAAAAAGTTTGATCAACCAAAATACATCCTTCAGGTTTGAGGCAGCGAAATTCTTAGAAATGAGAGGAACCAGTGTCTTGCCTCGACCTGCTTCTAGCCCTGACGTCGATCTGCTTTCCTTCTTCCATCATTTATGTTCTTTTTCTTTCTAAATCTTTCATTTTATTGTTTTACTCACTCCCTACCTTCTTCATTTTCCCACTCTCTCTCTGTCTGTCTGTCTGTCTGTCTGTCTGTCTGTCTGTCTCTCTCTCTCTCTCTCTCT